GCTGGATCTCTGAGTTCGAGGCTACTCTGGTTTACAGAGCAAGATCCGGGACAGGCACCAAAACTACACAGAGAAACCCTGTCTCAACCCCCCCCCCCCAAAAAAAAAAGATGACCTTGGTTTTTTTTTACTCAGGTGATAGATAGCATCTTGTGGCTAAAGAACAATTGAGAAGTGGCTAGTTTGAATTGATATATGTGCTTAGTGTAAATTACAACCTGGATTTGTGAAGGCTTGGTATGAAAAAAGAGCTAAACTATTCTGTTAGTCATTGTATACTAACAGCATGTTGATAGTATTTTGAGTATAATTGGGTGAAAATATTAGAAGTTAATTTTTCACATAAATTACTGTTCTAAGAACACTGAGTTTATGTGTGTGGGGTGTGTGTGTGTGTGTGTGTGTGTGTGTGTGTGTGTGTGTGTTGACTTAGCTGGTAGAGGCACTTGACTGATATGACTTCTGTCCTAGGGACCCACATGGTGGAAGGAAAGAATCAACCTCCACAGATTGTCTCTCTGACTTTCAAAGTAAACATGTTTTTTAACATTGTGCACCAGTTTTAATCCCAGCGCTTGGGAGGCCAGAGCAGATTGATTTCTGTGAATTAGAGGCCAACTTGATCTACATAAGAAAGACCCTGTCTCAAAAGGAAACAAAATAAAAATACTATTTTTTAAAATATGTTTGCGTGTGTTGGGTTGCCCATGTATTTCAGTATAAAATACCACAGTATTTTGTACACATACATGTGTAAATTTCATTTCATATGTGCATCTTAAATACTGCAACTTTTCCTTTTATGATTTGAAGTATGACAGGAAACTTGGCAAATTTCCTTTTCTTTCATAATTTATCTATAGATTAAGGGTTTTGTTTTGTTTTGTTTTGTTTTTTTAAACAATCTCACTATGTAGCTTTGGTTGGCCTAGAACTCACAATGATGTGCCTGCCACTGTCTTTGGTGCTGGGGTTAAAGGTGTACTCTGCAGAAAATGCATTTAAGCAATTTCCACACCTCTAAAAAAATTACTGAAATCAAGAACTTTGACTGTCAATGCTTTCCCCATTCCTACACCCCCATGCTGGGGCAAGGTCTCACGCAGCCAAGGATGACCTGGGACTTGTAATTGTCTTGCCTCTGCTTCCAAGTGCTGGCTACAGCTAGGTGAAAAAGATCATCGTGCTAAGCTCAACCTTCCTAACACTGAGACCCTTTAATACAGTTCCTCATGTGTGGTGACCCCAACCACAAAGTTAGTTTTGTTGCTACTTCATAACTGTCATTTTGTGACTGTTATGAATCATGTAAATGTTTTGGAGATAGAGGTTCCCATTGTTGATACTCACAGGTTGAGAATCACTGTTAAAGGGATAGAAAAGAGCACAGTTTAAAATTCATAAATCAAAGCCAGGAGTGTGGCCTTTGATTCTAGCACTCTGGTGGTAGAGGCAGGTCAGTCTCTTGAGTTTGAGGCCAGCCAAGTCTATATAGTGAGCTCCAGGTCATCCTGAGTTGTCAAGACCCTGTCTAAAAACCAAAACAAAACAAAAAGACCCCTACAACAGACAAACAACCTTATAAATCAGTCTTTTACTTAGGAAAATTTCCACTTACTATTTTAGGAATTATTCTTAATTGTTTTATGTGAGTATGAAAGAGAGGGGTGGGGAGGGGGGGACTCCTGCACCATGGTGCCTGTGTAGAGGTCACAGGGCTTCAGTGACAGAACTCCGGCTCTCAGGGTTGTGTGGCAAGCTTTACCTGCTGGACCATCTCGCTGGCCCATCAAGGAACAGTTTTGGATTGAGGTTGACCGAGGATGGCTGCAGCTGTGGGAAGACAATGACTAGGAGGGGAGAGTGCCATAGCTGCATGAATACAGAGGTGAGGCTTGCTCAGAGACAGGTGGGCAAGTGAAGACTAGGAACTGCATCTTTATCTCGTAAAGTAACCAGACTGCACCTCACTGCCTTTCTGATAAAGAACCACCATAAAACCTGAAGGTTCGACGGGACAGTTGACCATGTGTTTGATAGCAAGAGAGGTTGTTTCTTGGACCCCATGTTTCCTTTTTCTTCTGTGGTAAGAGTCTCAGGCACTGGTGTCAGAGCCTTGCTTTAGTCTGACACTTAGGCTGAGTTTGGGAAATTCAAGACAACCTAAGAAGGGATGGTTTGTGCATCTGAAAACTTACCCACAGTGTATGTTCCAGTGAAATCTTGTGATCGATTAGGTCAGTAGTACGTACTTTTTGTTTTGGAGACAGAGTCTTGCTGTGTAGCTGGCCTGGAACTCGGTACACAGCCCAGGCCAGCCTTGAATACAAAGCTACCTTCTTGCCTTAGCTGTCCAAGTGCCCAGACTGCAGGCACACACCGCACACCCCACTTCTGCATTCCTGGGGAAGGGTGCCTAACTAAGGGTAGGGAAACTGATGGCAGATGTGTGACTGTGGCATCTGGCGAAGATGAGTATTTCGGAGCTATTTTAGGCTCTGATGTTGGAGGGACTCTTGGTAGCTTGTTAGAGCTTTAAATAGCTGCTACTATGTATAATCGGAGAGTGGTGGCTTAGGTTTTTCGACCCTGTCCTCCTCCTCCAGCTTCCCTTTTCATGGAAACGGGATAAACCAAAGTGGAGGAAAGGCCCAAATAGAAGAAATGTTACCACCTAGTTCCCTTTCATTGCCTTGCTCCTAATACTCATCTTTACTATTTCTTTTTTATCCCCTTAAAATAAAGGCCAGGCTCTTGTCTTGTTTTTCCTAGTTGAATGTTCCCGGGGAAAGGAGCAGGTGGAGTCTCTGAAGTGGAAGTATGCCTAGCAGGTCGAGAGACTGTAAGGAAGTGAACTAGGATTGAACAGAGGTTGCTGTGGAGGAGAGCTGAAGGGGAACTGGAAAGGCAGCAGAGTGCAGCAGTCCATTGCAAGGCTTGGACTTTAAATATACATGGAAGGTAGACCCAGAGAGTAAAAGATAGCAAGGTCGAGGTCAAGCCGGGGAGAGTATGTTAGGTTATTTTAGTCTGCCATTTGAGAGCTGGTGGAGGCTTGAGCAGGGGTGCAGGAGTGGGGAGAAGCAGTATAGTCATGGGCAGACTTCTGGAACCTTTTCTGTCTTTGCTGGGGATCCAACCAAGGGCCGGGCACACGCATAATCTTGTCCCTGAGCATTACCCCAGTGAGACTTGGGAGTTTTCCAAACAGTTTTTTTTTTTTTTTTTTTTTTTTTAAACATCAGGTTAGATATTTAGCCTACAGGAAGAGATGGATTAACAGACAGGAAACTTTGGGGGTGGGAAAGATCAGAAAGTTGAGTTGGGGCTGCTGGGTTAGTGCATTTTTCCCCCCATTGTACTCAAGTGAAAGGAAGAGTTTTAGCTCACACTTAGGCTGAAAGTGTAAGGTCAGGCAGCTTTTTGCTTCTCATGAGGACCTTTCCCTCTATCACGACATGGTGGAGAGGCTGGAAGGGAAGTAAGTGGTCATGTGCAGAAGATGCGAAGCTTGTGGAGTGCCTGCACTTTCCAACAGTCTGCTGTACGAGAGCCAGCCTTGTCACCACCACCGCCTCTGCTGCTTCCTCCTCCCCCTCCTCCTCCTCCCCCCCCAGGAACACTACCCTAACGTTGGAATGGTTGGAGGAGAGGTCAGAAAGGAGAGAACTGATTGTGAGATGTTGGAGCAGTGTTCTTGTGGAGGGGAGGAGAGAGCTGTGCTCAGGTGGAGAGGGTGGCCTTGGTCAAGTGCTCTGGTAGAGTAAGAAGTGAGAAGCAGCCCAGCAGCACATGGGTATGTGTGCAGAAGCCATCATGGAAACTTAGAAGAGGTTTGCCTTCTCGTCAAGTAGGAAGCAGGGATGAGGATGACTATTTTGAGGTTTCAATAGTCATGGAAAACAGAATGTGGTATGATTTTTTTTGGGGGGGGAGGGGAGCATTAAAGACCCTTCACAGAATGTCAGTTTTAGGCCTATCAGCGTGGGCCAACACACTCTGCCTTCCTCCATTCTTTTAGGTGCCCTAGACATGTTCTTGTCTCTCCCTCCAGAGATAGGATTGTACTCTCTAGGTCTGGCTGACCTTGAACTCAAGAGACCTGCCTGCCTCGGCCTAAGCACTGGGATCCAAGGGTTTGCTTCGGCCACCACACCTAGTTGCCATCTCCAATCCTTCCTTATAGTTAGCCCTCTGTGTGTAGGGTTCCATTAGATGAAGATGGACAAACCCTACCTACGGGAGGAAAGTGTGTCTTTATTGAACGTATAAAGAATTTTGTCATTGTTGCTTAATTTGTATTAGCTACTTACATGACATCCACAATGTAGAAGGCACTACAAGTCATCTAGAGATGGTTTGAAATACACAAGAAGATTCTGTACTATAAATACAAACACTGTACTATTTTATGTAAGAGACTTCAGCATCCAGAGATTTTGATATCCTTGAGTACTCTAGACCTAAGCTGCCCTTGAATGCGAAGAGTGACCAAATTTTTTAGAAAGGTAGAGTTTAGTGGCTTAGGTTTTAGTAAAGTTTAGAACAAGTTGCCTTACCCATTGTGGCAATCCTGGTGTCATTTTTCTTTTCTTTTACATGAATGTAAAATCGGTTTTCTTAATCTCATCCCTGGCTGTCCTGGAACTCACTCTGTAGACCAGGCTGGTCTCAAACTCAGAGATCCATCTCCATCTGCCTCCCTAGTGCTGGGATTAAAGACATGTTAAAAGTCTTTAAATTAAAGCCCAGTGTTAACAGTCTTTTTAGCATTTAGTATTTTATTATTTGGGGGTATTTGTGCACGTGTGTGCCATATTTTGGTATGATTTGGAGGTCAAATAAACATTCTTTTCTTTGAATTTTACTTTTGATTGGCTAAATTATGTATCATTGCGAGATTCTGTTTTATCTAATTAAAAAGATGAACTTGTAATTTTAATTTTGGTGTTTAGTGAGATGACATGTGTTTCACAAGTGTGTGTGTTTTTCTGTTGTAGGAAACCCAGCGTTTGCTGGCTGAACCAGTTCCTGGCATTAAAGCAGAACCAGATGAGAGCAACGCCCGTTATTTCCATGTGGTCATTGCTGGCCCCCAGGATTCCCCCTTTGAGGGAGGGACTTTTAAACTTGAACTATTCCTTCCAGAAGAATACCCAATGGCAGCACCTAAAGTACGTTTCATGACCAAAATTTATCATCCTAATGTAGACAAGTTGGGAAGAATATGTTTAGATATTTTGAAAGGTAAGTGTTGTCTGTCACCTGTGCTATATGAGTGTGTCTTTCTTTCCTAAGCATTCCATATTTAGATGTAAACATTGTAATCTCATTTTATGCTAACACCAGTGTGGGGGAGGGAAGTTCAGTCTGGGCCTGTGTTTTCATGCTTCATCATATCATACTGGGCCTGTTACCTTCATAGATAAGTGGTCCCCAGCACTGCAGATCCGCACAGTTCTGCTATCAATCCAGGCTTTGTTAAGTGCTCCTAATCCAGATGATCCGTTAGCAAATGATGTAGCCGAGCAGTGGAAGACCAATGAAGCCCAAGCCATAGAAACAGGTACTGCATACTTATTCTTTGTCTGCTTCTGCTTTTCAAAACAAGTCTGTTACCATTTGTTTGTTGTTGTTGTTTTGTTGTTTTTTCAAGTGAGCTCAGATTAAAAATAATCTAGAAAAGGAGATCTTGCACTGTGGGTTTAACCACATGGATCTAACAATGAGTGTCTACTGTACTAGCAGCATGGGAAGAGACTGGAAAACTTGCAACTGTTTGTACTGTTTTGATGGTCCATTTAATGTATATAGATAGCAGTTTGTAGAGTGTAGAATCAAGCATCTTCCTGCTCCGGTCACAACAAAGTTAGAGAGGAACATAATCACCTATTCAGAAGTGAAAGATAAAACTTTGCCCATTTCTAGAATTTTATGAAAGGTTTAAATAGTGAGAACCTTAGAAAACAAACAAAACCCCTTTCTAATTAGTTGTCCTGTTTTGGTAATAAGACATTCAGAAAATGATCTGATCCAGTTTATAGGAGAGGCTCTGAATTTGGGAGGGTATATATAGTTAGCATTTCCACAAATGGTGTTTGTTTGCTGTTTTTGGTGTTTGGAAAGAAATATGATGACTCAGTAAACTAACAATTGCGTGTTTGTTTCTATCTACAGCGAGAGCATGGACTAGGCTATATGCCATGAATAATATTTAAGTCGATCAGATCATCGAGTGTACATCACTTCTCCTGTTCTGCCAAGACTCTTCCTTTTTTTGTTTGCATTTAATGGACACAGTCTTAGAAACATTACAGAATAAAAGCCCAGGCATCCTCATCTTTGGTGATTACATGCACATTAGCAAATCTCTGTCTTGTCCTGATTCACTGTTGTAAAGCATGAGCAGAGGCTAGAAGTATCATCTGGGTTGTTGTGAAATGTTGAAAGCAGTGACTCTGCTTGGATTCGTTTCCCCATCATGGTTTAAGTACAAAGCACTGTGAATGAAGGTAGTTGTCAGGGTTAGCTGCCAGGGGTATGGGTGTTTTTATTTTATTTTTTAGGGGGAAAGTAGTTTTATTTTAATTTTATGGTCTCCTTTCCCCCTCCCCCTCTTATGGGATCTAATTACAGTGGTTAAATGCAGCTAACCAGTCTTTTAGAATATGCTCTCTAGCCAAGTCTAACTTTAGACGCTGTAGATGGACAAGCTCGATTGTCTGAACCAAAATGGGAACATTAAATAAACATCACAGCCCTCACTAATAACATTGTGACTTTGCTGTCGAGTGTAGATTCTCTGCCCCCCCCCGACCCCCCCCCCCCCCCCCCCCAAGAAGAAACAAAAGCTTGTGACCATTTTGTATGGCTTGTCTGGAAACTTCTGTAAATCTTATGTTTTAGTAAAGTATTTTTTGTTATTCTCCTTTGCCTTTGTACAGTTTATTTTACTGTGTTTACTTCGCTTTCCCCATGTGACAATCGTATTTAAAATGAAAACGATGGAACATTCTGTTTTGGTCCTCGCCATCTGACAAATGGATTGGCAAGAGGAGAATTTGATCAGTTTGTTTCATTGATGCAGATTTGTGTTAGGATTTTACTGAGTGAGTATTTATAAACTGGCTGAGCATGCATGAAGCATCAGTATCTGTTCCCTCATCCCCTTTTTTTAACCACCTAGAAATTTTAAATAAATGTTACTTGATTTAATTAGGTGATCCTTGGTGTCTTGCCCAAATGTTTGAAAGTCGATCATACCTGACAGCCACAATAAAAAGGACAGGTGGGGTCATAGAGGACTCTCACATGTCCACATTTGAGCCTCAGATGTAGGTTAGGACTTTTCTCTTGGTTCTTGTCTGAAAACTCATGTGTGTTGTTTGTGCTGCTAGGAAACCAGTGGAGGTTTGTGGAGGCCGTTTTGAGTCTCTCTTCCTTGCAGACATTGTAAATCCCAAGCAACTGGCTTACAGGAAAGTTGCCAGCTTTCCAGGTCCAGTGCATTGCTCTCCCCTCCCTAGGGTTTGCTATGAGAATTCCTTCTCTCCTCCTTTTTTTCTTGAGGGGGTGTGTGCGTGTTTCTATGTAACCTCGGGTGTCGTGGAACTCACTGTAGAGACCAGGCTGGCCTCCACCTTGGAGATCCTGTTGCCTCTGCTAGGATTATAAAGGCCACCAGGGCCAGCTGCTCCCTTTGTCCTTTACTTTGGTGTTAATTACTAAAGAATTACTCTTTTCTTCCCATGTGAAGCCGTCCTTTTCCCCTTGTCCACCTGACTTTCTGGTTCTCGTTACATTGAAGTCCTGTCCATGTGAGTGCTGACCTCATGGTCAGGAATCTGTCTCTGTACTACTACAGTGGATACTGTAGCCCGTCTGCGTTTTCCTCACTGCAGAACTTCTGGAGTTTCTTCAGAGTGTGGTATATTTCATTGTGTTCCTATGTAAAATGAAGAATTATCTATTAAAATTACATTTTCAACATGTAAGAGCTTTTGGTGACTGGTAACTGGATCCTTCCAAATAAATGCATTTTGTTAACAAATAGTAAGTTTAGAATAAAATTGCTAATGGTCCTACCTGATACTGTAAATTTTAAAACTATCAACAGTTGTTACAATTCTTGGGCAGAGGGCATCTTTGGCCACAGCTAAGAAAATTCATTTAAAAAAAAAAAATTCACAGGACTTGAAGTATTTAGCCATTGGGCAGCATTACTTCCTGAAAGCCAATAGGCTGCTGGTTATGGCTGGTGTCACACAGTGACTTACAGGTTACCCACACATGGGGTTCTAGTGTGCACTGCGGTTTTAGTTTCCCAGCTTACATTATCATTTCCTGATTTCATAGCATCACTTTTTTTTTTAATTTTGATGAATCCCCGCTGTTTTGATGAGGCTTGTACTCAACCAGTTGGGAAAAAACCATTATATATGCCTGGACTCCTCCTAAAAGACTTGGAGAAACAACATGTCAAGGTAGAGGTTGAATCCTAGCAACTGCATCTGGCCCATGGTTTCCTTGATTAAAAGCAGTTGGAGTTACATGGCAGTATTTGGGAAACTCGGGATATTCCCACCACGGCAGCTGATAACATTTGAATGATCTGAAGATGTGGCAGCAGTAGATTGAGACGCACTGTAGCCCGGGAACCTACTGACAGGGACTGAGTTGCAGACACAGTACAACATTCTGTATCATTCTCTTTCTGTAGGAATGGTGGGAGTCATGCCCAGCCTACCTGGTCCTGTTTTCTTATAAACTTTGACTTTGTAGCCCCAGATGAAGGAAGAAAATTCATTTGACAAAAGTATTTGAACATTTGCCTAATAACTAGCTCTGGATGTGAATGAATAGCCAGTTTAGGCATGAGGCACAGCACAATAGTTGCAGCTCTTGTCCTGGAGAAAGGAAGTGCTGGAAAGGCCAGACAGACACCTCCAGCCTCCATTCAGAGCCCAGTGAGAGAGGAAATCCAAACTCCAATTGACATCTTGAATTCAGTTCTGACTCCCTAGAGCAGTGGTTCTCAACCTTCCTAATGCTGCGACCCTTTGATACAGTTCTCATGTTGTGGGGATCCCCAACCATCACATTATTTTCACTGCTACTTCATAACTGTAATTCTGTTACTGTTATGAACCGTGATGTTTTCGAATAATCTTTGGACTCCCAAAGGGGTTGCAGTTTAGAGGTTGAGAACCACTGCCCTCAGGTGTCAATTTGAGCTTTGTGGTTTGAATGCTTTTGTTCTGCTCTATTTTGCTGTGATTCACTTCCACTCACTGTGAGACTAGTTATTCTTGGTTCTCTCAGATCTTACTTAGGCTTTCTGTCTATAATGCTGAAAACTAGGCCAGGAATGTACTTGTAAGATAAGCCTCATTGCAAATTGGTATATTAAAACCACAGATGCTGTGGTTAGCATTTCTCAAGAGGGTGGGGAAGAACATCTGGTGTCCTGTAAGGTAGCGTGAATCCAGCCAGCCAGGTAGACCTAAGTGGTGCTGTAGGACATTCTGATGGTTTAGAATGTTCATTTGGTGACTAACTACATCAGTAGCAGAGTTTTAGGAACACAATATAGGAAAGCTGTCCACATACAAATTATAAAAGATGAAAAATTGGGTATTCCATATGAAATATGTAATATTGGAATGTATTCTGGGGTTTGGTAACATTTTGTTTAGCTATGAAGCATGCTGCCTATCCTAAGGAACTATATCAGGGTTTATATTTTAAGTAACAAGGAAAACATGTTGAATGTAATAATTTCAAAGAAGTATAAATAATAAAAATCTATACCAATTGGATGTGATAATTTGTCTATTTCCTTCACTCTGCAGTCACTGATATTACTGAGGCTGGAGAAGTAGTTGTGCTAAGAATTAGCCTTTCCCACTACACATTTTTGTGGTGGTACTGGGGGTTGAACCCAGAACCTTTCTTGCACATGTTCAGGCAAGTTCTGCCCCTGATCTTTATTCTAGCCCTGTCAACCACTTGTATATGGGACAAAGTCTTTTGAAAGATATGTAACCTCACAAGCTTAACACAGGCCTTGAGGACCCTGTCATTGCTGGAATTTAGCCAATGACATTAGCCTGGAAGGTATTAAAAAATGGAGAAGCTGGGCTTGGTGACGCATGCCTTCTATCATCAGGAGGCAGAGGCAGGCAATCTCAAGTTCAAAGCTACCCTGGTCTACAGTTCTAGGAAGTCAGGACTATTTCAAGATCCTGTCCTGTCTCAAAAAAAAAAAAAAAAACCCCTGGGAGAAACCTTTTTTTTGTTTTTAATGTTATGTGTGGGTGTTTGGCTTGCATGAGCACCATGTTTGTGGTTGCTCTCCTTGGATCCTGTAACTGGAGACGCTTAAGCCACTGTATGGGTATACAAGGAATAGAACCTGCCTCTTCAGCCTCTTCCAGCTTGATTTTTCTGGGAGGTCCATATTACATTTTGCTAAGGGACCGTGTTGGTTTTTTTTTTTTTGGTTTTTCGAGACAGGGTTTCTCTGTGTAGCTTTGCACCTTTCCTGGAACTCACTTGGTAGCCCAGGCTGGCCTCGAACTCACAGAGATCCGCCTGGCTCTGCCTCCCGAGTGCTGGGATTAAAGGCGTGCGCCACCACCGCCCGGCGGTTTGTTTTTTAAATACTCCTTGAAGTCTACACAAGAAATGAAAAAAAAAAATGCTATAAAAATGAATTTTAGGAATGTTCTTTTGGCTAGTGAATTTTAGTACTCTCTAAAGGTGAGCTCCTAAGTGGACTATGGGCTCCTTGTCAAGGAAACTGCCACCAGGGGTGCTAGCTGGGTAAGGCATGAACAGGTGATGCTTTATAGAATTCCATCCCCCGTGACCGCAAAGATTCTGAGATGTCTCTGTAGCCCTGGCTAGATTTACCTGCGTCTTGACTGCTGGGATCAAAGGTATGCACTACCATGCCTGGTCCATGCAGAAATTCTTCAGGGTCAGGTTCATAGAGGACTTTGGGGAGGTTGGAGGGCAACCCTAGGTTTTGTTCCTACTCAGTTGCTTTCTACTGTTTTTGGAGACAGGCTGTTACTAGCCTAGCACAGCCTGGCTGGCCCATGAACCCTAAGGAATCATGTGTTCCCATGCTGGGATTACCATCACAACTTGACTTTTCACAAAAAGTGAAAAGTGGGGATAGAACTTGGGTCCCATGTTTGCTTAGCAAACACATTACTGTCTGGACTATCTCACTAAGATTTAATGATGTGTGTATAGACACATGCATGAGTGTAGGTGCCTGCCCACAGGCCACATTAATCTGCTGTCTGTGCGTGTGCCCCCCCCCCTCAAGATTTATAGTCATTTATGATCTCTGTGTAGCCATGGCTGTTCTGGAAGTCACTGAAGTTGTCCAGACTGGTCTCAAACTCCAAGATCTGCCTGCCTCTGCCTCCTGAGTGCTGGGATTAAAGGTGTTCACTAACACTGCCAGGCTTGAAGTTCTTGAGACAGGGTCTCTTTATATAGTCCTGGCTATACTAGAACTCTACTTAGACCAGGCTAACCTTGAACTCAGATTTATGTACCTCTGCTTTCCCAGTACAACTTCCCAGAGCTGGGATTAAAGGCATGTGCTACCCACCACACCCAGCCCAAACTGCTATCTTTAATCACAGGCCATACACTTCTAATTCTTTGTGTTTTGAAAATGTTGGTTATAGTAAGGAATGTCCTAATGATTTTTCTAGTTTTGGTTATTAACATACTATGAGACTAAAAAAGATTGGCAACATTTTAATGATAGCTCCTTTTAAGTCACCAATCCCAGTTAGTCATAAATGAAGATACAAGAGCTTTGTATGTGAGGGCCAATGGATGATGGTGAAGGTTTTTTTTTTTTTTTTTAAAGATTTAGCTATTTATTATAAGCGCCAGAGAGCCACCATGTGGTTGCTGGGAGTTGAACTCCTCTTCCTCTGGAAGAACAGTCAGTGCTCTTAACCACTGAGCCATCTCTCCAGCTCCGATGGTGAAGGTTTTACTGTAGAATGCCACGCAGGTTCTCCAATGGAGGTATGAATGGTTGAGTAGTTGAACGAACATTGTATGATGGATTCTGAACAGCGAGTGTAGCTTTGCCTGGGTGGTTACTTTATGGATATACTTGTGTGTGTATGGTTTGTGTGCGGTTGTCTGGAGGCCAAAAGAATGTATCAGATCCCCTGGAGCTGGAGTTACAGGAGGTTATGAGCCTCTCGTGGGTTCTGGGGTCCAAAGTCAGATCCTTTCAAAGAACAGCCAGCCCTTTTAACATAAGCCTCCTCTCTAGCCGCCTGGGTAAAGCATGCACCTGGCCCTAAACTTCAGAAAGCTAACTTTGAAAGCTCTTATGCTAAAAAATAAACCCACACAGATTATGTTTCCATTTTTATTTGATATTTCCAAATGTAAAAAAGTCAAGATTCTTACACCAGTTCGAATGAGACCATCTCAAGTGAGACCATGCAAAGCAATTCTTCCTCTTCTGCTTCATACAATGTGATTGACAAAAAGAACTGGATGTCATGTGCTTGGTGGGGAAACACCACTTCTTTACAAAAAACACCACACAGGGCTGCTTCTACTTTTCTGCAAGTCAATTTAAAACATTTTGTTGTTGTTGTTTTTTACTTAGGCACATGGAACTGAAGAATTTAGCTGCCCGATTTTATTCAGCTACTCCACAAATAAGCACACAGCAGTCTCAGCACTGCCGACGGCAGAGGTCTGAGATGGTAGACATTACCTTTTTAGTAGATTCAACTACTTTTAAGAGAACTGAATCACCTTAGTTCTTTTCCTCTAAATCCTGCTGCTGGTCTCTGGGTTCCAGAATAGTAATAGGGAGCCCTCGGGTGAAATTTTAACAGTGAAGCTGTGTTCTGGAAATCCTTTGCTACTGGCATAGACTAAAGACAGTTGGTTTGCTAAATGGTACTGAAGAAAATCCTGACCCAGGTGACATGACTTAGTCCAAATGTTTCCGACCAAAGAAATTATACAACAATATTTATAGGCTAACTTTTAAAGAGATGGTTGACATTAATACTGTACATATTTTACATGGCAATACATAGTCCAAGGGTTTATAAAATGAGTTCATGCACTGTTACTCTGAGAATATCATGTACATTTAAACCCCCAAGCACTTGTGATAATGTTAGCTGGAAGCAGTATTCTATACAAAGCAGTCCAGTTTCTCTGTTGTGTTTAGTACATAGAGAAATTGCAGACATTTGTGAGGAAAAAGTCTATTGGCAACTGATAGAAAATGTCAATCTGTGGGTTTTAAAATGTTTCCTTAAAAAAAAAAAAAAAAAAAAAAGAAACAATACATGACCTCTGTACAAAGAAAAATATAAAAGGGCTGAATGATCATGTGTGACTACATAATTCAGAATGCATGTTACTGGCTGAGTTTTTCTACTTCACTCATTCTTTGACAGCAAATTAATTTGTAAACTAACAATTTTATTTAGTTCTGCTGCGTTTGTGGCACAAGATCTCATTTTCAGAACCAGTTTTCCTTACCGTAAGGACCATTTCAGCAGCGATTACATTTTAGAGGTTAACAAGTTACAGAACAAAGGTCTTAATGGGTTCCCTGTTTTACGCTTGCCAGTGAGAGTATTTACAAAAGGTTAACAGTGGCTACATAAAGAAAGATCTTTTCCTCATCCCACATCTGTCGAAGCTTTCCCCTCCCCTGTCACTTCCGACCTGGAGGAAGTGTACGAGTTCCAGACCAGGTTCTCTTTCACAGGATGGCTCCTACGTTCTGGGTCCCCTACAGTTAACTTACACAACAGACCACTCACTGACACTCAGACAACAGGAGAGATTCAGACGCGCCCTGCCTTAGGCCTGGAACAGCGAAGAACAGGAATGGCCATTTTATTTAGCCGTGACAGTCATCACTGACTGGGACTCAAGGTTAGATTCGAATCCTGCGGTAAATTGATTGTTTTAACAATCACTAAAGAGATGTCACTAAATAAAAAAAAAAAAAAAAAAAAAAGCGCAATCTCCATCGAGGGCAATGTGGCCTTAATATATCCTATGTTCAAAGGGTTACAGAGGGAACTGACAACTTGGCATGCTAATAAACGTCTATAAATACAGTTCTCAGGATGAGATGCGCTCAGTCACATGCAAGCTGCTGACAGTATTTCCCTAGGATGACGAGCTCTTTGTATTTTATACTGAATCACTACAGTGTTAGAGGAAACGGTCCTAGTAGGTCGACGGTGACAGTACTGGCTGTGAACATTCAAATTACTGGAAATAGTGAACTGAAGTACTTTGTCAAAGGCGACAGCCCAAATCTCTAGTTTACAAATGGAGATTAGGACCCTCTTAAACAAGCTTTGGGGTGGATATATCTTTAAATACTGAGGATCTCTTCATTAATTCCCAACAAAGATCAGGTGACTATTTGATACTCTAAGAAAAAAAAATGGTGTGTGTGTGAAAATACATACCCAACAACTTATTTAATAAGACCAGGCAAAATAAACCACAGAATGATGTCAAGTGGACAAAGTGGGGGTGGGGGGTGGGTCATAAAAAAATGAAAACCAAAGTAATGGGGTGGAAGGTTATAATTAAGGCTCTAAAAAAATCCCACATGGCTTTGGCATTTTAAAATATTTTTATGCTACTTTGTTGTTTACTTTAAAAGACTTGAAAGCATCTGAAACACATGCAAATTATTTGAAATCCCTGCCTGGCAGATTCAGAGTTTGCCAGCAGCAGTCATATGTGTTAGAAGAAAAGTAAAAAAGCCTCTCCC